TCTTTTCACACACATCGAACATCGTGCCTTTGTGTTTGGCCGAAAGCTATGGTTCGGTTCTGTGAATCCTAACTTTAATTCCTGAATATCTACTTCCGTCTTAATGGGTTCCTGCATTCCCCTTTTCTATCTATTCACCTTCGCTGTGGCGCCGAAATTACCAACCTTATGGGTGAACAGGAAGCCTGTCCAGTATGATTTTCGTGCCGCCCTAAAGCTATATCAGGTATAGTGTGAATATAGCCTTTAAAAAGAAACAGCTAAATGAACGGTTTATCAGAGCGTAGCAGAAGTGAATAAGTTGGAGTGAGGATTGAACTCAACTAAGACAGAAGTAAATATTCCGGGGTGTGGACTGGGATCTAGTTCATCACTTAACCACCTTGTCGGCCAACCGCCCTGGTGCGATGTTCGATGTTCTGTGTCGTTACTATATTTACACTACACCGTAACGTGTAAAAAAGCCGTCTTCTAAGAGTATCGTGAAATCAATGTAATCACATTGTAAAACCGACCAACAAACCAACGCAGATTAGAAAGCGATATGGGGGGGGAGGGGGGAGTGTGTAGCTTACAACCAGGCTCCGCAGTGGGGGAAAAAGGTTAAAAAAACGGAGTGAAACAGCCAAAAAGCTAGGAGTGCGCGCCAGAGTTTCGTTAGCGTGTCAAGAAACATTTTTCCTTTCATGTATAACCCAGCCCGCCACCTTCCTCAAACGTAAAAAAATTGTAGGCCTGATAAAAAGTTAATCATAAATTTGTGGATTTCTTTGCAAAGTGTAAACGTTTATTATTTTACGTAAATTTAAAGTGTACAACGAAAAGCTTCGCCTTTATGGTTGGCTAAAACTATATAGTAGTCTTAATAATGAAATTAGTCAAAATATGTCCAGGCGCGGTTTCATTAGAAAAATCTAAGCATGGTCAATAAAAAGTAACAGTAAGTCTTAGAGAAATTGCAGTAAAACACTCTTGTTGTGATACATTTAACTCAAGCAAACGAAGTGTCTCATCTCAAGAAGTGGGTTGAAAATAACGAGTTAGCGCTAAGTGAATACTCTATAATAGTCACTGATATGCTTAACTTGAAAATTCTCACATGTTCTCTAGATCTGAAAATGAATTATCCATATTTTTAAGGAAAACGTAACGATGCAAAACATATGAAAAAAAGGATATTCAGACTACATTCATTTCTTTGGCTTGTCTAAGAATTTATCAATCTGATTTCGTCTCTGTAACTTGAGTGTAATCTTTCCACACAAAATGCATCTCCGAATGCATATCTTTCTCAACAGCTGTTATTTGCTGTTTGGAATACAACAGGCAGTTGCCCTTGGCGTTCTCACACCAACTTCCTTGCTCAGGTTTACACATCACAAAGGCTTGACAAAAGGCATCTTTTGAACAAGAGGAAGCACACTGTGTACTATTATAGGCCTTCAATTCGTCCCGGCGTTGCTGATTTGCTTTGACTTTGAGTTGATACAAAATAAAGTTCTTCTTTTCTCTTTGCAGTCTCGGCAGAAACACGACTGTCTTCGACAATATTGCGTTATCGGTTAGAACTTGAAACTTTCCTTTCGTGTCGAGCAGCTTGCACCCTCTCCGGAAAGTGAACTGAACTGCAACGCAATTTTCCTCCAGAAGGCAGATAGCTCTACAATCAGTCTCATCTACGTTTGACAAATGCCTATAGCCTGGAATTATGAAAAAGAAAAAGATCTTAATTGGCACGGAGAAGTTCCCCAGGGGGGATACCCTGAATTTCAAGTAACGGGGATGATCGAAGGAGTTTTTGGAGAAAGAAAATTTGGTAAGTATTTTTTAGGGTGCCTTGATTTAAGTAGTATTTTTGGGGGTTGAAAAAATCTGAATGTTCTTAATAACTTCAGATGGTATGAGCAGGCATAAAAATTCAGCTTCTAAGATTTTTTTTTATTTTTCGGCCTCACTACATCATTTAATCATGGCATTTAATGCTTTCTGGAAATTTCAAGTCTCGAAAATTCGGCACGGGAGTTTTTGGGGGTCAATGTTTGGTCCAGGGATTTTTGTGGGTTTTGTTGGGAAGCCGAGGGATTTTTCTGGGTTTTGGTTTTCGCCCCTTTCACTCTAAATCCGGAGCAACCCCTGGGAGAAGTTCAAGAAAGTATTACCAGCGTTTGTCTCTCCTAACACACTGAATAATCTTGACCTTTTTAATAGCCCTTATGCATGTTTAAGTCAGATGAGCAAATTTCACCACCCTGCCTCGTTTTGAAATTTTAAAGTTGCAGAGTTTTGCACAAATAAATTTCGATGGAAGCGGAGTTGAAAAGAATACCCACGCTCATTTACTCAAAATGCGAAGAATTTTGCGTAGAAACGAAGCTTGGTGGTGAAATTTGCTCGTGTGACGTAATCAACCATAAGGGCCACTGTAAAACAATATCTTAAAAAATCTAATAGAATTACCAAATTGGCGAACTCTAACACCTTGCAAAGGAGTTCCCAGATGAATGCTGTCATCGCACGAATCTACCAGTCCCTGGTCTTTCAAAGCCTTGCAGTAACTCGTGGATGCATTAACCAGCTTCTCTCTCACAACACCTATGTTAACTCCAGGAAGATGCTTGGAATATCTCTCAGTAAACAGGTTGTGGATGGCGGACAGGGAGTATCTTATTGGCACCGGATTCTCCTGGACAGAGGAAGCCCATGTCAAGGCATCACCGTTACTAGGAGGGGCTGCACCTACAGTGATGGTGCTTGTTTGCACTGACTTCTGAAAATTGGAAGCCGCAGATCTTTGCTCTTTATCCATTGAAAATCCCCCTCCAACACTAAAGAGCCCTGAATAGCTGGCTTGCGCCTCAACGCTTACTTTCTTGCTTCTCAGCTCTTCATATTTTGTTTGACTGACTTTGTGGTTTTTCGTGAATCTTGCTCCGAATGTTACCTCCGTCACGAAATGAGTTCCGTAGTATTTAATGAACTGAATAACATCATTTTTGTTAGAATTTGGCTTAGCCAGACTCTTTGCCCAGCGCACAAAACCCGGATGAAATGGCGGTGGATCGGTGACGTCCATTTTGCTGAAGTAATAACGGCACTGCGCTTGGGAAATTATGTACAAGAACTCTCCAGACGACATTTGTGCCACGGATTCTTTGTAGCTTGCACTTGCAGAAAACTTAAAGCCCCATCCACCGCCTATGGTAAAAGCAAACAGCTTGTTAGTTCTAACAGTTAATTATTTTACTACAGAGTGATTTCTGACACGCTCATCGGTGGACGGAGCTATTTTTAAGGTAAGGTCACGTATATAATATATAGATTTAGCCAGGGCTAAAAGCAAAGCTCTCGATAATTTTATAGTTTGCTCAAATAAATATAAAATCATATAATGCTAAAGGTCGGTACACACTAGGCGACAAGTTGCAGCAACATGTCGCGGCGACATATTGCAGCGACAAATCGCTTCGTGTGTACTGGAGAATTTTTGTGAAAATCTTTGTCGCTGCAACAGAATTTGTCGCCGCAACAAGTCGCACAGATTCAGTCTGATTTTATTTTTAGCGACTTGTTGCAGCGACAAAATTCTGTTGCGGAGACAAAGATTTTCACAAAAATTCTCCAGTACACACGAAGCGATTTGTCGCTGCAACGTGTCGCCTCACCTTGTTGCTGCAACTAGTCGCCCGACCTGTACACATGGAGTGATCGGTCGCCGCAACGTGTTGCTGCAACTTTTCGCCTAGTGTGTACCGACCTTAAGCGGCGAAGGCGACGAGAACGGCGAAAAAAACAATAGGTCTAATTAGCAAAAAATCAACTTTGCACGTGCAGCACACTTTTTTGTACATTTCTTTGCCGTTGTTTTTGCAGGACTAAAAACTAGAACTTCCAGAAACTTCCTGGTTACACGTTTTATGAAGGAAATGTTGTACGTGTTCTTGTTCACTTTTTTTTCATTGTCGCTCATTTTCACCCTGGTGGCCGCTAGCATTTCTCACTTTCTCACCGCCGCTGCAAATTTTCATGTTGTTCCTCCAACAAAAAATGTCTCCTTTGTTTTTTCTATCTCGTTCTAGCTCTTTTTCTCGTTGAGCTTCGCTGGCCTGTCGCCTTACTTTCTCTTTTTCTCCGTCTTTCTCTTTGCCTATTTTCCGAATTTGTGGACAGGACAATTAATCTAAACTTAATGCTTTAGACAACACGGATACAAAAACATTTTCCGCCTTCCGTTTTCGTCTTTATTGACTCTTTAGATGTCTCTGGTTCACAAGACGCGGGTGGCCATACACTTTTTCGCCAAAATAACCTGACATTTGGCATCGGCTTACATGAAATAGGTGTACAGACGGTCGGCTTTCGTACGCTACGTCATAACCAAATTTTCTTGCTTTCATAGGTTACCAATTTATCTTAGCAATGGGGCTCCGCCACGCACCGTTTGCGCACCGGAGCTCCGCTATAATGTGCTTGGTGCTACCGATGCGTGCTGTGATTGATCGTTCCCCATGACTTAGTGGAGTACATATTTACGGATGACTTAATCTGTGATACCAAGGGCAAATCTTTTTCCTTGTTTTTGTTTTTTCTAAAAGAAGGAGCTGTTTACAAAGACCAGAAAGAATACACTAACACGAAAGGTGCTCTTTAGCGACATGCAAAATTCTTAAACTGGAAAATCCTTAAAAAGTCCAGCCTTAAGTGGTAAGTTTTTCGTTTTGCTCTTCTGTTCATTGTATACAACAAATACATTTCATTTTGCCTCGCCTCGGTTAGTAACAGATCATAGAAGAATTCAAAACAACATGTCATGGCATCACTAACATACTTCCGGCATGCGACCCGTGTGCAGCTATTTTGTTCTTACCATCTTTTGTCGTCATCTGTGTTCTATTACTGAAAAGATGCATGGCAACATGGGTTCTATTTATTAAAAATATTGTCTGAGGGCCTGTTTACATGGAGGTGGGGGACCCATAGGTGAGGTAACATGCGGCGGGTCTCCCCACCTAACTTGTAAACGTGAGCAAATTAAAATGAGAGATTATATGGACAGGCGGGTTATCCCGCCTTCATCGGGTCCCCCAGCTCCATCCAAACAGGCCCTAAACTTAGTGAAGTTTTTAGGATATGGGTTCTTTATTTGTTTATTTTAGTTAAGGAGCGGTGCTAACCAGCAACAGAAGGTATATATTTTTAAGACCTCAATATTGAAAGTATGTGAAAGAAGGGCTCAACTTAGTCTCCTTGGCAGCCGTTATTAGGGTCGTCACGCAACGCCCCTCCCCACTAGTGGGGAGGAGCGTTGCGTGACGACCCTAATAACGGCTGCCAAGGAGACTAGGCTCAACTTAGCAGAGGTTCAATCTTTAAATCGCTACTTTTAAGAAAAACTTTTCACAAGGCTCCGAGGAAAGGAACAACAGAGATGCACATTTACAATAGAAATGAAACTAAAAGGAGTGTAATTCGGTCTGAGGTCGTACGTTTGATTTCAAAATTGAATGGGCTAATTACGCGGTTTCCATTTGGAATCACATGATGAGATTTCAGACCTAAATAGACCAATTTTGATCTACTGGAATTTATTGTTGGCTGTGAGGATTAGAGGAATGTTTTACAGGTTAAATTTGTTTTCAGGTTAATTTTTTTTAACCAAGGTTGATTCTCGATCGGTTTTCTTAGTCTCTTCGAGCTAGAAGACAAAGGAAATGTGGAATCAGCCTAGGTTAAATTAAAATTAATTTCAGAAATCATATTTGACATGTAACAAATGAAACAAAAGAAATCATCTCGATTCTTAGCAATGGATACCGATGCTTTTTCGTTAGTTTTATTCCCTCGACCCTCTGAAACAAGGATGAATTTAAAAACAAGTTTAAAGAGTCACTGTTAAAATATGGGTTAAATCATGGCCAATTGAAAGACCATTCAAGTAATCATTCATGAATAATTATTTGAAATATCTTAGAGGAGCACCTTCAACGTTCGCGGCTGCCTCAAGGGACTGTGACATCTCCAGTCTGTTTCGTATAATCTTGGAGGAGAAAGTAGTTTCACACGACACATCAGGCACAACAACCAGACCTGCTGGAACACTGTAGCGACAGTCAGAAGTCTGCTTTTCAGGAGTGTAGTCTGTCAGGAATATTGGGTGTGTAAAGCCAGGATCATGTCCTGTTGCCAGTGGATATCCCTTTAAAATGTCGTATCCAAAGAGGGCGTAATCAAGATCTGGAAAGGATCTTTTCCAGTGAGCATTTTGACATTCTTGAAGCTGAGAGTCAGACCGCAATCCTTAAGTGGTCATTTGGAGACAAAAAATTTAAAACAACCGTCAAATTGGAAAATTTTTGATTACAGGTTATACAGTTCTAAGGGCATGGGCAGGGGCGGTCAAGAGGGATTTGTCTTATCTTTTCCTCAAGTGGATAACAACCTTAGAAAAGCTTTAAAGCTTGGTGTTGCTGAAGAAAAGGAAAACACATTGTTTGCCCATACCTACTGGCTAAAGTTTTGAGGGAAACTTTACAGCGATTTCTTTTGTCAGTAACTATTGTCTGAATGTCTTGTAATTATCAGTATTAATTATTATTAGTATCAGTATTTAGGGTTTTTAGTATCTGCCCTATATCGGAAATTACCGTTATGCAAGTCAATCGACTTAAGAAGAAAGAAAATAAAAATTTGAGGAGAAGGGAAATAACTGAATTGTAGAGGAGCGGGGTGGGGAGTCAAGTAAATAAGTAATTGTGTTTAGTGCTAGAAAAAGCTAGTTTGTCTTCTCCTGATTAATATGCACGATTTGCGCGCCATGATTCAGTGAAGCGGAACTGAAACGATTTGTTGGACGAAATATAACTTGTATAATTACATTACGGCTTAGTTATTTTGAGTCACATCCGATTTAGTGCTTATTTCTTCGACTCTATGAATCAACCTCTAAATGCGTTTTTTGGTTATAGTCAGCCAGTCAAAAACAAAGATATTCACCGACCTAATTATAACTAGAAAATCTGTCAAACTGGAGAAACCCCTAAAAAATAGCACCTACGCTTGTTAATGAGACAAACACATCGGAGTTAATGTATTTCACTTTTCACCAACGAGATTCCCGTTCAAAAATGGTTTATTTCATCCCTACTCTACTACTAATTTTGTACACCGCCAAAAATATTCGCGATTCGATAATTCCAATTCCACCAACATTATGCGATCACTGGAACTCATGGCCAGATAATGTTCAACCCCCCCACCCCCGCCACTTTTTACCGAACATGTATAAACTATAGCGAAGCTCAACAGAAATCCTTCTATTTTATATTTCTTTATTACCCATATAACCTTTTTATCATTTATTTTACCCAATACTATACCATCTGAAAGTTTATCATCGGTCCAAGCACGTTCTTACCAAAGTTTAGGAATGATTTGCCGTCTTTTCCTTGTGCAAAAGGCATCGGGGAATTGAGCAATCTATTCCTAGACGATTCATCCAGGAAAGAAGAATATCTACAATCCAAGACATATAATTATATCAATGATTTAAATGGTGTGCTTATTATGCTCAAGGAAAGCATTTTTTGCCGGAAAGGTTACAAATTTTACCGGCGCGGTGTCTATTTTTCTGTACGACAAAGGCGTGAATGCATGAATTTCGAATGCGCGGTAGTTCAGCTTGAAGACCCCATTTTGGATTTGCTAAAGTGGACCTCCTGGTAAAGGCAGGTAGTAAAACCACTGAATTCAACCTGGTTCATCAGTTCCATGTAAACAGAGCGAAAATATTGAACGTTTCCTAATGAAAGAAGTGTCTAGTCAAAATTTTCAGCCGGTCGAAAATTCGTCGAGTACCTTGTGAAACTAGCCAGATCGCGGTCTTGCCTAGTCCCTGTACGGCGTTTTCCCAGTCCCTCTCGGTAAATTCACTTCAGTGACGTATCTGACGCGAGCCACGTGA